AGATCCTGTCGAGGCAATTTCCTCGAAGGGCTATTGAGTACATACTTTACATTTTGACTGCATTGAACAGTGATTTAACATGTACATGTAATCTCCACACACCTAGCACAGAAACTCGCTCAAAATGCTCTGAACAAAAGACTGTATAATGCATGTATCCCCAAAGGTCAACAAAAGTATCATAACAGTCGGCTCAAATACAAGTCGAAATCAGCCGAGTGAAATCGCATGTAGTTTTTTTTTTCAATTAATGTATATGTACAGTGCACACATCACAAGAAAGGATCTACCTGAAAAGTAACCCAAAGTAAGATTTTTTTCCACCCTCAAACTCAAATGCAAAAAATTAAAACCTCTCGAAAGTTGTCAAATTATTTGGACTTGGCTGACCATAATGCACGTGTCCATTTTCTTTTTTTCCCCCATCAGTTGTGTGTTCCTGGATGCTCGCATTCAGTCCTCACTTTTCACTTTACCCTCGGGGCGGTGCCGCTGACTGAAGTGTCTTTAGGCCATTCCCAAAGGGGGGGCATTCCTCGTTCTAGTGCACTGTAGAATTGTAAATGGGCTGATCTAAAAATGTCATGCTCATACTGTGCCTGAACTACAACAGGGAAATGCTGCTTTTTCTTTCCTAATCCTTACTATCGTCATTTTCCTCTACTTCTTTTGTATGTTTGTCACACTCTTGTGACCCGCTATTTCCGGGGTGCCTTGATAGTCGAAGCAGACTTTGTGCTGCTGAAGCTAGAGAGGTGAGCAGAGTAAGTCTGATTCCCTTTAACTTTAAGGACTTCTCTGTTGACATCCACCCCTTGGTGCTCATAAGACCTTATGCAGTTGCGAGCGCCGAAAACCCTCTACTAAAACTAAAACTAAACTTTTCACTTTCTTTTGGGCCTAATCGGCTGGAAACATTTCATTCTTTTTTTAAATGACAATGAGTACGGTAATTCAAAGAGATCTCGCAACCTTTGCTCGACTGATTGTAATTTTAAGCTACTGAGGACTCAATCTAGATCAATTAGGAGATGAGCTGCTGTCACTCAACGTGCTCGAGCCAAAACTGGCTGCGGGATACATTCCAGCAGAAAGACTAAATACATGTACGCAGAAAAGCACACTTTCCCTCGCGGGAATAGAGTTCCCATCCAGTGCGTGCAACAGCCACAAGCCTAGCCACAACCCCACAAGCGCCAGTCTCATCATAATCTTTTCTGGGTTAAAAAACAAAACTGGGGAAATCTATAACTCATTCCATAAGGCTGATCGTGAATGTAATTAATAAAGACAGTGTTTACTAACGTTTTTAGTTGTGCTTGCAACACAACATCAGATACGAGCGGAAGATTAGAGGTGATTAAATGGAGTATGAAACACCAAAATAAAGAAGAGTGATAAGGAAGAAGAAAGATGTTTAATAGGAAAGGAGCAAACTACACCACACCACAAGCCAAGCACCCACTACAACTACAAGCGTTAATGTTGATGTGATTGACAAAGACCACGTTTATTTACGTTTAATGTGGATGCAATCGACAAAGACCGTATTTACAAGTATTTAATGTGGGTGTAATCGATAAAGGCAGTGTTTACTAGTGGTTGGTTATACCACCACAGCACCCAGCCCTAGAATAGACAAGAGCTGATATTGACTGTTTTATCCACATCATGCACAAAAGACATTGAAAGTACTTACTTTATATTACATGTACTACTCTGCAGTCTTAGTCCTTTGTTTCTGTCTTACTACTGCTACTAAGCGTATCCAGGATAATCTAGATACGTATTGGCACCATAGCTGTGCCTTCAGAGAATTACATTTTCTTCTGTGGTGTAAGAAAGATAGCACAGATATAAATAAGTTTTATATATATATATATATATATTATATATGTCATAATCACAGGCTCACTCTGCAAGTTTGTCTTATTGACACTTGGTCGTAGAAAGATAAGATAAGGAGGTTCAAACTCAGTGGAAAATGAGGCAAATCCACTAGAGGTAGAACAACACAACAACACATTTACTCAGCCACCAATGGAGTATGTTATTTACTTTGGTGTATTGGCTGGCTTTTCCTTTTTCCTTCAAAAGTGCAACCCAAGGCTAAGAATTTGTTTTGGACATAATATGTGGTGGAGTTTGCTTTAAACCAAAATATGCCGGACCACTGGATTTTCTTTGCTTTGGTTGGCTTTTTGGTTCAGAGAGGTTGCTTGAACAGAAGGAAAAAAAATCGGGGTTTTTTTGGGGTTTTTTTGGTGGTTCCCTGCTGTTTTCAGATTAACGGTGTTCAGGTTAAGCGGACTCCCTTGTACCTGTAACCAGTAGGATGCTAAACTCAATGCAAAACGGTTAATCTCTAACATCACTTGAACAACTGATAGTTTCTTCTCTGTTCTTAGAGTAATCAATGGAGCTGGCTGGCCACTGGCAGAGGACATAACAGTAGCCCTTATTCTTTTCCTTTGACCCGTTATTTCTGCCTGCTGCTAGCTTTTCTCTCCAAACTAAGTGATAAACAGTACATCTATACGCCAAACACAGTCTGAAATAGTTGTGTCTTTAGATTTGAGTCCCTTTAATTAATAAAGAGAGTAACATAAATGCAGGGAGATCTACACACAAGGCATTTATCTTGGATTCATCAGCTAAAAATAACTCCAGAATTGAGCAACTTTACAAGATCAGCACTGATTCATACAATTACTAACTATCAACATGAATCTGCAAACCTTTTTTACTTCTGTTCTCTTTCCATACAGAGTAGGGCAAGAATTGTCAACAACGCAAGATTTCTTTTTAGGCTTGGTACCCAAGTTGATGCAAAATAAAAAGAAGTCAGAAATCAGTTGCCTTATAGACCTGTTTATTTTATTAATAAAAAATCCACCACAATGTCATTTGTGAACATTTTTTCCTGAACTTGTGAATCTTACAACAAAATTAAATATCATGTTGGCAGTTCAACATGTATATATTATAACAGCAGATAAAACTTTTTGAACATGAAAGTAACTCTCAAAGGTAAAAACATAATATTTTTACAGGTCAGAAAATCAAAGGTGATAAATTATAGAGTTAATTACCAATAGAAACCCTGAAATTAATTAACAACAAAGTCTCCTCTGAGAAATGTTGTGTCTTTGCAACAAAAATGAAACATGAAGAAATACAACAGTACAAGGAGCGAGTAATAAACAAACCACCCATTCATTGTGGAAGGGACATAACTCTTTGTTACCAAGGAGACATGGTAATGGTAATAAAGGCATTCAAACCTAAAGAGAGGCCACATAGATTATTCAGTACACATTCATTACGAAGGATAAACCAGTTGTGTAAAACAACAGTCACTTTTGATTCAAAGAATTACTAAGAACATATCCATGTCCTGTATCAGGAAGCTCACAGACTACACATCTCGAGTTCCTAGTGACTTCACCAAATGAACTTCAACTGACCTCACTGCAATGATTTAACTATCTAACAACTTTTCTGTTGAGGTGATTCTGCATCATTGCCAGCAGATTCCAGCTGACTTCATAAAAGTCACAAAACAATAGGTTCTGGATCACCTCTGAGCACACAAGACAGTAACAAATACAGTTTGAAAACTAAATTACCATTTTACGTGATTAAAGATAACTCAAGCCGAACAATGAGTAACAAGAGCCATATGATATTATCAGTGAACAGACCATATAACCTTTTATACATGGTGACCTAATATTGTATTAGGTATACAACCTTCACAAGCAAAATCATGTGCTCAAGATAAAATATCCCTTGATCAAACAAAGACACAAAAAAAACCTCATTGCACGTATCACATCATGCAGCCGTACAATAACAGATGTGAAACATTCTGATCAAATTTATCATACATGGAAAACAAGGTTTTCATTTTCTGCACTTTGGTAATACATTATACTGTGCACAGAGCATGAATAATTTTCTCAGCATCTTGTTATCCAAAAGCTCAAGTAACGCGGGATACAGACAGAAAATGGACATTTTGTTTCATACAGTAAGAACATCCACATTTCAAAAAGATAATCCCATTTTCTGGCACTAATTGTGAGACAATGAGTGTAAATAAATAGAAATAATGTATGAAAAAAAAAACCAAGTTAAAATTACACTGAAACACTTACAGCTACACTTATTCAAATGATTTCACCATACAAAGGAGAAACTGTCCAGATATCGTTAGATACTAAGTCCATACTCTTATGGGGGCGGGGGGGGGGGGGGGGGTGGGGGGGCGGCTACACCTGAAGATATCTCACTTATTAGAGGACTGAATTTTACCATATTTCACACATATAACAAGCATAGTAAGGAGTCTTAAAATCTGCAATCAAATTGGAGAAAAAAGTATTATTTCCATGGACACAGCAGCTACATTGGATTTTTTTGACATGTCTTACATAATGAATAACGTACTTATCTCTAAAGGAAATTGATTGTTTTTTTGCATGCATGTTAGCAAACATTAGATCTAAAATTTTGTCTGTTGATTTTTTCCAAAACGAATTACAAAATTTTTAATGAATTCTGTGAAAATTTCATGAAGATTGGATGGAAAATGGAGGAGTTATTTTAAAAAGGAAGTATATAGAAAAATCGCGTTTTGAGAAAAGTCAATAAAGAAAAATAAAATATTGGCTTTATGAGGAAAATGGCGGTGACAAACACGCTCGGCATGGGAAGAAATAAGACTTTTAGGGGTTCTTATGCGATGAAATAGTTGTAAGAGAGGCTGAAGAAGCTAAAAATGCCTACAACTCAAATTACATAATTTTGTGCTGAATCGGGACTATATGAGGGTGTAGCCCCCCAAACAATCACACACTGCAGCCATAACAAAAGCTGCACCATTCAAGAAACCCACAATTCACCATCTCACAAGAACATTCACACCATGAAATATATTTAACCCTTTCATCGCCTGTTCATATTGCAGAACAACCTTTTGCACAAATTTTATTCAAATGAAAAGTACCTTACCTTTTTTTTTTTTGACTTAGGTAAAACTTACAAGTCATAGAAAATAAACATGCTCACAATTCTGTCGGATCAGAAGTATTTCTAAATGAAGCACAGGTCAAATTTGGTAGAAGTCTGTTTCAAGTCTGCCTAGCATAAAGGAATTTAGAAAATTACTTTTTATACATACTGAGAATAAAAAAGGTTTATTTTTCAACAAATTATATTCAATGGCTCCAAAATGATGAGGTAGAGTCCATCATATAGATCTACTTTTGTCAGCTTTCTACGGGATAAGTTTTATATCTCATGAAACCTAAGGAATAAGGCAGAAACTATGTGACTAGGATCATTCAGTTCATAGGATTACTTATCAATCAGTATTTAACTTCATATGGAAAAATATCTTTTTTTTTTTCCAGTTCAGTTTAATAGTTCAAAGAGTCAAATTACACACAGACACATACATACATGTACACACACACAGACAAGACACACGGCTATGATGCAACTTCCTCGGCGGCTATCATTTCAGTTGCTTCAGCAGCCATTTTCTTCGCTATACTTGAGGTCTCTGGGTCCAAGTTGATCAGTCTGTTACTGGAAGCTGCCAAGTCTGATATGGACACTCTCCCATTCTGACGAATGTAGCGTGCCACAGCCTCTAGCTCCGCCATGGTGATGTAGATAAACTTGCCGCGGTCATCGATCACACCAGTGAGACGTCCTTCAGTTTGGAGGTCCTGGACCCGATTGATCACATCCTTAAGGAAAAAGAGACATCACCACAAATAAGAGAGAGGAAAGTTTAAACACATGCCCATCTATCCAGGATGTTGGATTCTAAAACATATATACAGGAACACAAGACTCCACAATACTGTAACTAAAACATCTAGGTAGAAATTGCCACAGAAAGACAAATGAAACATGTGATACCCTGAGCAAAGGGGACTATTATTTATTATCATCAATACTGAAAGAGAATATCTTACACATAGAGTTCACGAACCAAAAACAATTGTTCCCAAGGTAAGAAATTAATTTCAGCAATCAGGGAAGTTTGACAGCACCATAAACATAAATCAAATAACGTTCGCATAATGTTGAGGAAATACGCAGGAAAAAAACAACAAACAGCGACTGCATTAAAATGGCAAGTGTCCACAGTGACTGAAAAAAAAGTCCTATTTCTCAGTAACCATCACATCCATTCATTTTCAAGTTTACAAAGATCAGACAAAATTACATTTTATTGAATTAGGATGTCTTTTACCAGATTGTGATGAAGGTATCCTGCAAATTAAAGATAAGAAGTCAGTGCACTGTTTAACTTTTTATCTCCGAGGAGGGTACACCCACTACGCCGGGGCCCTTTTTTTGGTGCTAAATCCAAAAATGACAAAAACGTCATTAAATGGATAGGTAAATCGAAACCACCAAACCTATTTCAATAGTTCTTCACCTAATGAATGAACTTCCGGTATAATTGCTGAAAAGTAATTTGATGTCGAAGTCGTGGTAAAGGAATGTGCCCGGCATAGTTGTTCCGACCGCGAGCCGTTGGGAGCGGCTTGCCGGAGATAAAGAGTTAAGCAAGCAGTTCTTTATGGACCAACTAGAACAATCACATACACATACACACATACAAAATCCCCTAAATTCATACCTGTGTTTTTAATTTGAAATGTCCAGCCAGATCTTCAAGCATGACAACTTTTGTCTCCTGAAATGTAACAACAACTCTACAGATGAAACTGCAAGTCTTACATGGACATCAAAAGCCTAAATGCATAATGGGCTTTCAAAACAATAACAAAATTA